AGGGGGAAAATATAATTATGCTGTTTACAATGCTTTTAAACTCATACTGCTTTAGAAAAACGCCAGATTACAACACCAAAATATAAAAGCAAATGTGGCTTACAATGAATCTACTTACCCAAAAGTACCCAATCTAGCCAGGACCTTTGAAAGCAATCAAGTAGGTTGTTAGCTATTTGCAGTATCTCAAAAAGCCTAATAGTAAGTGAACATTTGCAACATGTAAACAAAAAATCATCCTCTCGCGCTCATCCCCGCCCCACCCACACACACACATTCTCTCACACAAAGCAAAACACATCAGCTTTCATATGGTCACCCTATTCCCTAGAAAGAACAAACCTCCCTTGCTATTTTCTCAGAATTAGGCAGTGCAACAAAGTAGTATAGTTCTGAATCAAGTTCCAGACACTGCCTGCACCTGCATAATTATTTCATTGCCAAGCCATCTAAGTACAACCAAGTAAAGGAGAAGAAAAGAAAGATAGCCTTTTAAGCATGACAATAGGCCATATTCCTGTTTTATGAAGTAAGACCACATCTATTAATCACTTATATATTCTAGAAAAATTACTATCAACTTGAATTTACATAAAGAAATAGACCTACACTTCGCTGAACAATTTATTAACTAAGATCTTAAGGAATTTTCTTCAACTGAGATGTTTATGTTCATCTATACTAATTGTAATTCTCCTTTTATAAAACTATATAATCTAAGTACTGAAAAAGGGGAAATAAATTTGTCTTTGCTTTCTAACATGTAAAAGCCACTAATGCAACTAGCTTGATAAATGCTAGAAATTATTCTTTTTCAATAGGGATAAAGAATATTTCTACCTTGACGTTTTGACCACTAATATATATACTAATTTGTGAATCTTAATTTCACCATGGGTAAACTTCTATCAGTAATTCTGAGCTCTCCGTCCTGCTTCTTACTTGCTATAATCTTTCCTGCTTTTACCCAGGTCAAGGAAAGTACTTAATAGTTCCATGACGTAATTCTCACAAAGTTTTCCTGCTACATAGGAACTATGTATTTTTACAACTGGGAGAAATCCTCGGCCTATGTATAAGGTCTTATTTCAGTCTACAATAAATTGAAATTTTAATTAGAAGAACATAAAACTGGGCTATGACAAGTATTTTAATTTTAAAGCAGTATATTTATACATAAAAACTTAATGCAGATTAGGCATTCATTTACAAAGTACCTGGTCATTTTTCTTACACTTAGAATTTAGAGATTAAGGGACCACAAACAAACTAGATCACTATCTTCTATATAATGGTTAGCTTTTGAAAAGAAGAAAGGGCACTCATACAGGTTTTTGCATGCCCATGTTCATGGTAGCATTATGTGCAATAATCAAAAAGTGGAAGCCATCCAAGTTTTCATGCATGGATGAATGAACAAAATGTAGAAGATACATATAATGGAATGCTATTTAGCCTTAAAAAGGAAGTAAATTCTAACACATGCTACAACATGGGTGAACCATGAAAACATTATGCCAAATGAAATAAGCCAGTCATAAAAAGACAAATATGGTATGCTTCCACTTATGTGAGGTACCTAGAAGAGTCAGAGTCATAGAGACAGAAAGTATTAGAATGATGGTTGTCAGGGGTTTGGGAAGGGGGAAATGGGTAGTTAGACTTTGGTGGGTACAGAGTTTCAGTTAGGGAAGATAAAAAAGTTCTGGAGATGAATGGTGGATGGTTGCATCATCAATGTGAATGTACTTAAGGCCATAGAACTACACACTTAAAATTAAGTAGTAAATTTTATGCTATGCATATTTTACAATACAAAAAAGTATAACTGAGTAACATGAAGAACACTGAGTAATATCTAGTCACAGATGAAAACAGTGAGTTACCAGATATCCTATTTTTTTAAAAAGGACACCTATACCTGATGAGTCTTTAATTTCACTATTTCTGGTTTTGTTCTCTCCTTTCTCTTTTATTCCAAACATACTAAATTCATTTGATTCCATTTTTAAGTTTTATGATTTATATATAGGTTTTAAGACTGAAAGACCAGACTCGAAGAATTACCAACTGTTATGTTCAAAAGAATTGTATTCTTCTTGGAGTCTAACCCACAATTTACATACAGGCAAAGAACATGATTTCATTTCATATGATAGTATATTTTTGTAAAAAGCATTATTCTTTTATACAATATTAATCCAAGTCCATTTTCTAACTAGTCTATGCATCCATGAGTTATATACTTTTTATAACCCCATCTATGGATTTTCTGAAATTTAAAATAATGTTCTAAACTTCAGTCTTAACTGCTAACTAGAATTTTTGAAGAATTACTGACCCATGATTAAACAATTTATAGGAACCTGCCTTCAAGTTCATTATTTTCACCAGGAAGCTGCAAAACATACATTCTCAGAAAATTTTATTTTATCTTATCGTAAATGTAGTAGTTAAGGGCTTGCACTTTGCAGTCAGATAGCCTGGGTTTGAATCCTGTTTCTACCACTTACTAGATGTGTGATTGGGTACATTATTTAAATTCTCTAAATCTCAGTTTCCCTGTTTTTAAAATGTGGATATTAATACCTAAGAGTTGTTGTGAGCACCATGCATATAAAGCTCCTCTGCAGTATCTGACGTGTAGTAAGTTCTTAAAAAACAGGAGCTATAAATACCACTAATAACAGCAGCATGTAGAAATGATAAGTGCCCTATGCCACTTTTAAAAATGACACCACAGTTTTGACTCTAATATGAATCCAGAAAAAAGAACAACTGTGTATTTTGAGACTTGTTTTCTTTGTTCCTCTCTTCCAAATAACTTCATTCTTATTATCAATCATATTAAGCAAAAAAAGAAATTAAGTCCAACAAAAATGAGAAGACCAGGTACGTATGTGTGTATATACATACACAAACACACATCTCTCTCTAATGTGCTGTATATGATTTCAGCAAGTTGTACAGAAACATGGGGAAAAAGTTGAAAAGTAAACAGGAAGAGTAATAGACTGCATTTGTATATGTACAAATACAAATTTCTAAGTTCAACTATTTGAATGATTAATTCAGAATCATATTATTGTCAGAAAAAATATACTGTAATTCTTCTGGTAATTGCCCTAGGAGACAGATACACAAGTTCAGAAAAATTGGATATTTTCATCCGTTTTTATCAACGTACACAAGAGAATTTCATATTTTTTTTAAAGTAAAAACAAACTGCTACTACAGTTACTGCTACTAAGGATTTCTAAAGTATATAATGTTTGATGCTGGGATTTCTGCCACAGTTTCATTTGAAAGTACAAAGGTTTTGTATACTATCTACTTGGACACCCCAACTTTAAAGAAAAATGGAAATTTTATAACATACTTCTGTTTCTGAAAATGTGTTCCTTGGAGCACTAACGGCATAACATAAGAGGGTGGGAGGATAAAAGGGTTCTGAGAAATCCTGCAGTGAGCAGAGCTGTTTAAAGTTGTTTAGTGTTCCCAAAATTTATTTGGCCATAGAATTCTGTTTTCAAGCAATACCAAGGAACCAGTATTCCTCATAACACCTTATTTTAGGAAATGTATAATAATTGCCTTTCATTAGCTATTTAAAAGGTAATTTTATGCACCCGTCCCAAAAAGACAGTCACTGGCAGAATTTGCTAAAGTCCCAAAATGAGTCCATGATATTTCATGTCAGGAAGAAAATCTAACATGCCTAGATTTATATTTGTACTATCCTGTAGTTATTTCCAGAATGTGTGTTTTAACCCCTTTTCTGCCTGTTATTTATTTGTTAGTTAATCAAGTCCAAACACTCCATTTCTAATACCTGTAAAAATCTAAGAATCAGTGTGACCCTCCAATCCTTTCCCTTTCTTTCTGGGCTTTGGTGTAAGCTAAGACAACCCTGTAGCTATGAGCTACATCTTCAAATATAAGAATAATAAACTCAGTTACCAGCATTTTAATAACTGGTGATTATGAGCTGCATTGATGCAATTCTATAGTAAAATAATGAAGCTTCTACAACATTAATCCTGAAGCAACACAGTGACTGATTATTATTGACATTTCATTCCCCTGACATCTCCCTAACATTCCTATAAAGTATATAAATTACTGTAAACACTGCTTTATCTACTGGAGATTGAGCAGCTTGCCCCAAGTACCAAGAGTCAACAGGGACCAATTTCCTGTTGGACAGATACCGTGCATTTTACAACTATAGAAACTGCATCAGATAATCACCCTGAAATATGAACAAAAACAGGAAATTCCTTTACTAATAGCTTATTATTTAAGGAATTTCTTCTTTTGAAATAATTTTAGAACACAATTTGCTAGAAATCTAAACTTGAACTAAAAAAATCTGATGGCATGCTAGATAGCTTTTTTGTTGAGTTCAGAAATTAAGAACAAAGTTTTAACAACTGTAATGAGGCATTCACTACTTTGTCCTTGTGTTGGATGAAACAAAATAAGTAAGCTACAGTTAATTCTGGGTAAAGTGAGAATGTGAATTATTATGCTGTCAGGCTGTTGCATCACTTTCTTCTTAGGTTCTCCCTTCAATTCCAGAAGTACATAAAAGTGTAACAGAATGGTTGAGGCGGAATAGACATCAACAATTTTTTAAAAGCCTAACAAAGAAGACACAATGACTGTTATTATGGAAATAATACATGTAAGTAATCCATGGATATTTGGTCACTGATTTTCAAGTTATACAAAATAAGCTGATCATTGAAAGAAAAAAAACACTTAAAGACATTTATGGCAGAATACATGTAATCACAGTATTCTATATTATGATAATATCTATCAATAACATTTTATCAGAGATATGGCAAATGGTCGAGGAGAAAAAAGTCTGACATGAAAGGAGTCAAGAATGTTGATAATTCAGGAAAGGAAAAGGAGTTAAGAATCAAGTTTAAGTTTCATAAGGTTTTTTTTTTTTTAATGTAGAAGCAGAGGTAACAAAAATTGGTCTTCACCTGGTAAGTGTGTACTCCCTGAGTCCTGAATGCAAATTCATGGCAGAAAAAGTACCTATGCATCCACGCAATCTTTTGTCTCGACCAATCTTCCATGTTACAAACAGTGGGCTGTAATGGAAGATAAAAATAGGGTAAATCAATCAATTCAATTCAAAGAAATATTTGTTGAATATTTACTATACCAAAGTTAGGTGCCTGAAATACAAAGACTAGATGACAGGCCCTCAGGGGCTTAGCTGCATTTAGAAACAATTATAGCTACACTGTATTCAATGTATTCTATATGTTGGTGGTGGTTTAGTCACTAAGTGTCTGGCTCTTTTGAGACTCCATGGACTGTAGCCCACCAGGCTCCTTTGCCCATGTGATTTCCCAGGCAAAAATACTGGAGTGAGTTGCCATTTCCTCCTTCAGGGAATATTCCTGATCCAGGTATTGAACCCACATCTCCTGCACTGCAGGTGGATTCTTTACCATCTGAGCCACCTGGGAAGCTCTATATGTTAGAAAGTCCAATAAGTGGTTTTAACAGATTATCTATGTTAATCCTCATCAACAACTCTAGAGGCCTGATACTATTACTAACATTTCCAATTTTACAGATGAAGCAGTACCACAGTTAATACATCATGAAGTAGGAACTCAAACCTGGGCAGTCTTGACTACTGAGCCATTACTGCCTGATTCCTCATTTAAAACCCAAGTCACCAATTGATTCCTAAGTCTAGTCTAGAAAATCAGGGAGTAAAAACCAACAGATTCAATAAATACTTACTGAATATACGGGGGTGGGGGTGCAAAGCACTATGAAAGGTGCTATTGAAGATATATGCTATTGGAGATGGTGCTATTGTAGTTGCCTAAGACATAGCCTTTGCTCTCTGAGAGCCAGTAATAGGAGGAGGGCTTGTTCACAGCTAACTAACACAAGGCAAAAGGAACTAAGTGCTAGAAGCCCTGTCCAAAATGCCACAAATTAAGCTACTGGGATAGGAGAAAATTTCATCAAGTGTGATCATCTTCAGGTTGGCCTAGAAGAATGAGTAGGGTTTGGAGAGATGAAGGACAACAGCAATATTAACAAACTAATACTCTGAAACCAGAAAGTTTATTTCAATTTTTAGATAAAATTACTGCCAATAAATAAAATAAAATCTTTCAAGCATCAAATATCAAAATGTCAATTAAAATGGCAACAAGAAAACAATTTAGTTGTTTGGATTGTTTTAAGAAGGGTAATACAGTTTTTTTTGTTTGAGTTCATAGTCTGCAGACTTTATTTTTTATATATTCTTTTTAAAAATTCATTTATTTTTAATTGGAGGATAATTGCCTTACAATGTTGTGTTGATTTCTGCCATACATCAACATGAGTTGATGTTATACCATAGGTATAACATGTGGTAAGTTTTAAATGAAGTTTAATACAGTAGATGTTTGGATTCTGCAGCAAAGCACTCACACCCTCAATTAATGGTTAATTTTAAAATCAACTCTTTTATAAATAGAAGCAACTTTGTCAGGTTTTATGAAATAAATTAATTCATACATTTTAGAACATTTTATAAAAAGATTAACACTCTATAGTTGGGGATGGTCCCTGTTAATATGAGTATTCACAGAATCTGGTATAACATAATATTCAGCTTTCTAAAAACTAAAATTTTATGGGATATACCATATGTCATATATTTTAATATAATTATGTATAATATATTTATATTTTATATTAATAGATTTATAATTTATATTAATATACTGGAGAACACATTATTTATTTCAAGTACTCTCTAATCAGTCATCAGCAGTTTGGGGAAAAGATATCCTATTCAAGCACTTCAGTCACCCACCTCAAACATTTAAATTATGCTGTGTTCCAACAAGTAACCACAATGGCAGAGAGACTCCCAAATAAATAATCCAAACCAGGGAGTGGTACTAAGAATTACCTCCTTCTAAGAGCCAAATGCCCAAAGGCATTGAAAAAGATGACTAAGTATAAGGCCAAGTTTTGTCAATGTTATTATTCACATGCTGGATGACCTATACTAAAGGTACTAAAATGAAAAGCAAAAGGTAAATTCTAGGGTTTTTTTTGTTTGTTTTCTACATCATATGTACTATCTTATAACTTAATACAGGGTTCTAATGCTCCAGCTGAAATTTTTCTCTAATTGCTCTTGATTACTAGTTGATCAGGAATGTAAGTATTAGATGAAATCACTTTCTTACCAATTATTTTATTACTTGCACAAATACTAGTATCCTAAAATTCACACATATTGTCTTTAAAGATGAATTTCACCTCTTCATTTTCACCTTCTTCACCTTCTAACTTAGGGTCAATGTCAGCAATCATTAAATGAACAGTAAGATGTCAATCCTCTCCCATAACAATACCTATACAAAAGATCTGTATATAAGATCCCTTGGCAGATTCAAAACAAAGTGAATCATTCTGTACCATATATAACAATATGTCTTTAAAATTCCATGATGGCTTCTCAATAAAACACAACTAAGTTGTATATTCTCTTCCTCAGTGACTTAAGCGGGAAACCTAAAAGTAGGAATGAATTTATTTGCTATCAAAAACATGAAAGTCATTTAAAAGCACTTTTCCTTAAATCTACTTATTTATCCCACTAAAATAGATAAGCATACCATTTTCACTGTAATCCTGTCTATTCAAGCAAACATTCGAAATTTGTAGAGTACATTTAAAAAAAACACCATTAAACACTATATTATGAAATGTGTTGGAGGGTATTCAAGCACATAGTGGGAGAAATTATATACAGTTTCTTATTTGTTGTTGTTCAGTCTTTGCGACCCCATGGACTACAGCATGCCAGGCTTCCCTGTCCTTCACCATCTCCCAGAGCTTTCTCAAACTCATGTCCATTGAGTCAGTAATGCCATCCAACCATCTCATTCTCTGTCATCCCGTTCTCCTCCTACCTTCAGTCTTTCCCAACATCAGGGTCTTTTCCAATGAGTTGGCTCTTCGCATCAGGTGGCCAAAGTATTGGAGCTTCATCATCAGTCCTTCCAATGAATATTCAGGACTGATTTCCCTTAGGATTGACTGGTTGATCTCTCTGCAGTCCAAGGGATTCTCAAGAGTCTTCAACACCACAGTTCAAAAGCATCAATTCTTCGGCACTCAGCCTTCTTTATGGGCCAACTCTCACAGTTTCTTATTAGGCTATGCTACGACTAATGAAGGAATGATTCACTCAGAAGGTAGAGTGCTAGAGGATAAGCTGCATTTTGCCAGGCTCTCCTGGCCTGGGAGAACAGGTGCTCCATAATAAGCAAGGGCATGGAGAAGTAAAAGCACACAGTGCTTTCAGAGACCAAGAAGTAGTCTGACATTCCTGATAACTAATTATGGTCTCTTCCATATTTAACACTCTATGAATTTTAGGCACTGTTGAGTATATGTTCTCAAGAGCCCTCACAGAGGTAGAGCAGATGCAGAATCACCTGTACTCTCCCTGTTCCTTACCTGCCCCAGGCAACATCCTCTTTGGTGGGGGTGGTATTGCAGGGAAGTATCTGTGTCAAAGATGGGAGGGACTGCTACTTGACAACCCCACTGTATTTAGGACAGAAGCCTGAAGATGGAAGAAATTAGACCTTTAGTAGACAGAATGAAACTACTCCTTCAAAATCTGGGACTCAGATTTCTCATCTGCAAATGCTCATCCAAAGTCTTTTATAAAGAACATGTTAAGTGGAAATAAAAAACCCTAAACATCTAAAAGCAATATTTATTTAATGGGGAAAATAACTTGGGAAGTTAAGCATTTTAAAGTAGACTGAAACAGAATAAACACAATGGAGCACAAGAGATTGTATCTTGTATATGGTAACTACTTTGTACAGGGCAATGGCTATGGGAACATCAATGCATATCGTCTAAAAATAGCAACAGAAATTTTTCTTTTCCTAACACACAGAGGGAAGAAATAGGCAATTTCATCTTAAATGTGTTATTAAAACATATGAATTCCCAAAACGATATAAAACATCAGCATAATCAGAGACAGATCAAAGTAGAAAAAGGGACTTAAGGCTGTTGAGAGGAGCTGCTTACTCAATGACAGGGAAATTTAAAAAAAAAACAGTTCATAGTCATAGTAAGACAAAGAGTAAATGTTTTTCGAAAATACTTTCACTATATGGTTTTAAATACTTTCACTATATGGTTTGAGGCCACCAACATACATTGAAAAAAATGCTACAAACCAGAAAGGGGCTCAAAATGAAATGAAATATTAATGGAAATGTTTATCTGAAAGTAACCAGACATAGCTTTTCAAGGAATTTTCCCACTTCTGAACAGTTTGTGCCACTATGTTCTGAGAAATGTTTGGGGGAAAGTAAACACTCTCCATTTTTCCAAGTCTGTAGAGGAAGTGGAAGTAACCACCTCATCTAGGTAAATCCTCCCTGCCAACTGACAGACAGTACTATCAGGTCAGTAGTAGCTTTTAGGGGAAATGCAGTTGCAGGAAATCAGCGAAAGTCCAGAACAGCAATGTAAATCTGAGCAGGATACTCCCAAGTTGCATGCCACTTCCTATGCCTCTCTTCTAAGACTATTCTATTGATGTAGATCAGGATAGATTAGAAATATGTTTGTGGGAGAGCGGTACAACCATGAAAAAGGCATATTTACTTAATATATTTACCATAATACTTCCTCTGCCATACCAAGGCAAAAACAAAGGTTAAAAATATCCTTGGACACTAGCAAGCCCCTACTCTGGCAATTTACTCTTCTTTAGAATGAGATTTGTAGGTGGTAACATTAACAATACAATGTCAATCCCTATCAATATACTAATTACTGCTACAGGGGTCTTCAACAAGGTTATTTACATTATAGGTAGATACAGGAAAAGAGAGAAGTTCCTCTAGCTTGGTTCTTCTGCCATCAAACAATGATTGCTTTTCAACTGAACTCATGCTCCTCACCAACTTAGTCCACTGTATTACCCATAACACCCGACTCAACACTAATTCCACGGTACCTAGAAGCTCAGAGAACCACAGAAATGGCAGTCTTCCTTCCACAACCATATTAAAACCTTTCATAT